GAATTTATATTAACTTTTATATGTTTATCTTATATTCTCAGTGCTTTTGTAGGGATTGTCTACAAGGATACTTGTTTGGTTTTTTTTTAAATTTAGTATATAGATGTGTTTACCAAAAGTGTTTAAAATGTTGAGGTTTATTTGAACATTTCTTGAGTACCTTATATATTTCAGATGTTGATTTAGTCATTTTATTCTCTCTTCTAAAAAGCTGCCACTGTTTTTTTTTTGTTTTTTTTTTTTAACATTTGTTTATGCCTTTTTGAGAGAGAGAGAGAGACAAGCATGAAAGCAGGGGAGGTGGGGCAGAGGAGAGAGGTGGGAGACACAGAAGTCGCAAGGGCTCCAGGCTCTTGAGCTGTCAGCACAGATCCTGATGTGGGGCCTCTAACCTACAAACCGCCGAGGTTCTGGAGTCAAGGTCGATCTTTTAATCGATCGAGCCACCCAGGCTTCCTCCCTTGATATTACTTAGTATTTTAATGGGGAGAAAGAGAAGGAAAGCATGTCCGGATTAGAGAATATGACCACGGGTTCAGGAGTTCTGAGTTCTCAGCCAGGTTTCCTGGGCTGATGGCTCAGAGCCTGGAGCCCGTTTCCATTCTGTGTCTCCTTTCTCTGCCCCTCCCCCTGCTCATGCTCTGTCTCTCTCTGTCCCAAAAAATAAATAACTGAAAAAAAAAGTACTCTGTATTGAAGGTCCTGGTATATTAAACACATCCACACCATGTTTTAAATTGAGTTCTTCCCAAAAAGCTATGCACACTCAAGCATATGATGGTATATTTTTTTTTAAGTAAGTTTTACACCCAACATGGGGCTTTCTGAACTCACAGCTTTAAGATTGGCAGATAGCATGCTCTATCTGAGGCCAGCCAGGCACTTCTTTGACTACAGTCTTTACTTCTTTTTACACCATTCTAGTTTTTTTTTTTTTTTTTTAGTTTTTAAAATTTTTTTTATTTATTTATTTTGGAGAAAGAGCTTAAAGAGTGAGCAGGGGAAGGGCAGAGAGAAAGAGAGAGAGAATCCCAAGCAGGTTCCATGCTGTCAGCACTCCAGCCTAATATGGGCTGAACTTACTGCTGAACCAGAAATCATGACCTGAGATGAAACCAAGAGTCAGATGTCAACTGAATTGAGCCACCCAGACACCTTTAATTTTTTTTTTTTTTTAATGATTATTTTCGAGAGAGAGATGGAACGTGCGAGCTGTGGGGAGGGCAGAGAGAGAGGGAGACAGAGTCTCGAAGCAGGCTCCAGGCTCTGAGCTGTCACAGAGTCTGACATGGGGCTTAGACTCAAGAACAGCTTGGGAGATCACAACCTCACTCTAAGGCGCTCCCCCTATCCCATTCTCTTTCTGGGGTTGTTAGAAGCATCCACTCAAACAGATGCTGACTCGATGTGTGCATGTTAGAATTTTGGATAGTAATTGTGTGCTTTTGTGAGGATTATATTTATGGCAAACACTATCTTTAGAAAGTGTTTAAAGTCTTCTTTTCTTTCCCTAGTTACTTATATCAAATCATCTGGAGAGGACATTATTTAATATTATATCGAGTTTTCATCTGCCATGCTCTGGAAGAAGGGAGACACGCTTCTTCTTTCCAGCCACACCACTTAAAACCTCCGAAGCTGGTTTCATGAGTTGGACAGCTCTCTCTCCCATTTTTGTTTCACAGGTGTGTGGGTCTTTCCAGTCTCTTCCTGTTAAATGAGCAGTGCCAGCCAGATGTTTCTGAATATGAATGAGTTTAAGGTTTGGTTTTTTTTTTTTTTTAATTTTATTTTTAAGATTTATTTATTTTTGAAAGACAGATAGGAGCATGAATGGGGAGGGTCAGAGAGAGAGAGGGAGACACAGAATCTGAAACAGGCTCCAGGCTCTGTGCTGTCAGCACAGAACCTGGCGTAGCTTCGGACATGGTCCGTGAGATCACATGACCTGGAAATGGGTCAGACGCTTAACCAACTTAGCCACCCAGGCGCCCCAAGGTGTTTTTTTTTTTTTTTTTAATTAAGTTTTTTATTTATTTTGAGAGCACAAGTGGGGCAGGGGCAGAGAGGGAGACAATCCTAAGTAAGGTCTGCACCATCAGTGTGGAGCTTGACGCATGGCTGGAACTCAGAACTATGAACCAGAATCGTGACCTGAACAGAAACCAAGAGTTAGATGCTTAACCGACTGAGCCACCGCAGGCACCCCTAAATGAGTTTAAAGTTTTAACTCCAGTTAAATTAAGACCTGGTCTAAGATTGAGGCACGGCAGCATGTCTGAGAAATCACAAGAGTGTAAGGTTGAACCATTTAAAGGTGGATATTGGGGAACTAAAATCCATTACATAAATCCTTAGGCTTTTAATTTTAAATACATAACTCATGTTCAATCTAAAAATCCAAGCTATACAAAAGGTGAATGGTAAAATTCCTACCCCTAATCTTATTTTCAACTTTCTATCCACTGAGGATGCTGCTGGTAACAACTTCTTAGGATTGCTTCCAGGCATTTTCCCCGTATCAGTGCATGTGCATGTATTTGTTTGGGTTGTTTTTTTAATCCTAATAGGCTTATATACTTCAGTGTTCTGAAATTGACTTTTTGTCACTTAATAGTCTATGAATAACTCATCTTATTTTTTTTTTTTTGTAAGTTTATTTATTTTGAGAGAGAGAGAGCCTGAGCAGGGGAGGGGCAGAGAGAGAGAGGGAAAGAGAGAGAATTGTAAGTAGGCTCTACACTGCCAGTGCAGAGCCTGATGGCGGGGCTCAGTCCCACGAACCACAAGATCATGACCTGAGCCGGAACCAAGAGTTGGACACTTAACTGACTGAGCCACCCAGGCACCCCTGTCTCTTATTTTAACACTCAATTTCTTCTTAAAAATCTCTAGAGACATTAGGATCAGTCAGTAACAGAACTTCTTAAAATACATCCTCAAAGGAGGAACCCAAGGTGGCCTAGGATGGGGACTCTGTCCCCTGCTGATGGTGCACTGTTGTAGCAGGAATTTTGTTATGCATTTGTGTCCTGGATTGCTGGGGTTTGAGTGAACATTAGGCGCCACCCTACCTTGTCGGGTTGATCACACTTTTAATAGAGGTTTGCTCTTTGTATGCTGGAGAAACAAGTGTGTTCAGTCACTATTCCTGGTAAAATTAACTATTCTGAAATTAACTGCTTTTGTTCTTTCTTTTTGAGAAAGGATTAGCCCTGAGGCAATAGATAATAAATGAAATCCTAATTAAATTATGAGTGATTTTTTTTCCCCCTGTTTCATTGTAATTTGAGGAAATAATAGTGTAAATAGTTTGTAGATAAGATAAAATTTATAGGAAGTTCAGGTATCTACAGCAGAGCTATGGGTATTTTGTGCCATGTATATCCTTACTAGTCTGGTGAGGCAAATGGATCTCTTCTCTGAGTACTGTTTTTAAAATTTTTTTTTTTTTTTCAACGTTTATTTATTTTTTTGGGACAGAGAGAGACAGAGCATGAATGGGGGAGGGGCAGAGAGAGAGGGAGACACAGAATCGGAAACAGGCTCCAGGCTCTGAGCCATCAGCCCAGAGCCTGATGCGGGGCTCGAACTCACGGACCGCGAGATCGTGACCTGGCTGAAGTCGGACGCTTAACCGACTGCGCCACCCAGGCGCCCCTGAGTACTGTTTTTAAATGCATATAGTAATAAACATAAGATATAGCCAATAGAGCAAAATATTAAGTTGTGAAGAAGTAGTATATGTGCTTCCTTGTCAAGGCTTTAAATAACAAGATGGTGCATTTGAAATAGGTAAGTTAATTTATTTCAGCGAGAGATCAGTGTGAAGGCTGTATGCGTTCAACATATCTTTGTCCATGTTACAGTAAAGCTGTACTGCCTTCTAGACAAGAATTTTTTTTTTTTTTAATTTTTTTTTAACGTTTATTTATTTTTTGGGGACAGAGAGAGACAGAGCATGAACGGGGGAGGGGCAGAGAGAGAGGGAGACACAGAATCGGAAACAGGCTCCAGGCTCCGAGCCATCAGCCCAGAGCCCGACGCGGGGCTCGAACTCACGGACCGCGAGATCGTGACCTGGCTGAAGTCGGACGCTTAACCGACTGCGCCACCCAGGCGCCCCTAGACAAGAATTTTCATTTGAACTGGCCAGTTTGACAAAACTACAGTACAAATGATTGACCTCTTTGTGTATTGACCAACAAATGTACTGGAAAGCAGCTGGATATCTGGGATACCAACACATAGCTTTCCCATCTGGTGGCTGAGCAGTCAGATGCAGTTACCCCGTAGTTGGTCAGCTACATCATAGGAGCTTCTGTAGATAGAGTAACTTTGATAATATATAGTCTAACAGATTTAGACTTTTTTTTTTTAATGTTTTTTAATTTATTTTTGAGACAGAGGGAGACAGCGCATGAACGGGGGAGGGTCAGAGAGAGAGGGAGACACAGAATCTGAAACAGGCTCCAGGCTCCCAGCAGTCCGCACAGAGCCCGACGCGGGCCTAGAACTCACATACCGCGAGATCGTGACCTGAGCCGAAGTCGGATGCTTAACCGACTGAGCCACCCAGGCGCCCCAGTAGATGTAATATTGAAGTAGTGATGAGTGGGATAATTGGAGGAATATAAATTTTAACATTATGAATAAGTATGTTTTTTGTTGGTGACAGTCACAGATCCTGATAATATTATAGTTTATATTTTTCGCTGAAAGGAAATGGTAAATTTCATTTGGAGGTTATATAACATTCATTTCACTAAGTAAGGAATGCTCTGCTAATTTAAGAATTGGTACAAGCCTTTTTTTCTTAAAGTTGCTGCTGCAAACTGATTTGTTTTTTGGAACGTGGGGGCTTTTTCCCTTGATTCCCCCAGGGCTAATAGCCAATATGTAAGTTTAGTAAATTAAAAAGTATTTTGTCCCTGAGAATAATCAAATTCTGTGTGAAAACTTGGTACAAGTAGAAATTTTTTGTCTTTTTCACTGTGCAGATAGCTGATCTGGCCAATGAAGACACACCACAGCTGTATGTGGCCTGCGGTAGGGGACCCCGATCATCTCTGAGAGTCCTGCGGCACGGACTTGAGGTAAGATGGGTATTTTTAGATCATCTGCAGGGTTTGGAGAAAAGCATTGGAAAAGCAGCTTATAACTTTATTCTAATGAGATCAATGGTATATTTAATGTTTCTATGAAAGAAAAAATGTTTTCTTTCCTATTTCCATAAAAGTTAGAATTTAAATTTCCTGTTCTTTGACATGTTAGCACAATAGGCACATTTTAAAAAATTGGCAAGTGAGGATCAAAGGGGGAAAATAATCTTTACTGGTTCCAGGCTCACTAGTCATAACAGAGGATATCTGCATGGGACATTTTATTCCATTTTTTTTCTAGTCTTGGTCTGTGTTCATTGTTTTTAGATAATTATATCTTTTTACCTCATTGTGTACGTTTTTGTATCTTACCAAGTTTGTTCTTTATTATGTGTTCTTACGTTGTATTATTTTTAGTGTTTCTATAATATTCCACTATAGTGGTTGGATCAGAATTTATGTAATAAATCCTTTATTGTTGCATCTTTTAGGTGATATAGACACTCAGAACTTTCTTTTTAATTTTTTTTTAATGTTTGTGTATTTTTTTTTTTTTAATTTTTTTTTTTTCAACGTTTATTTATTTTGGGGACAGAGAGAGACAGAGCATGAACGGGGGAGGGGCAGAGAGAGAGGGAGACACAGAAGTAGGTTCCAGGCTCTGGGCTGACAGCACAGAGTCAGGCGTGAGCTTAAACCCACAAACTATGAGATCATGACCTGAGCTGAAGTCGGATGCTTAACCAACTGAGCCACCCAGGTGCCCCCAAAATTATCTTTTCAAATGCTACATCTTCCTGCGATTCTAGGGTTCATGCTTTTTAGCAAGTTCCTTTAACTTGGTTTTGTTAGGAGCAAAACAAAGCTTCCTATGACAGTTTGCTTCATAGTTGAGGGTTGGCATGCTATAAGCTCTCAATGGCCCACTGCCTGATTTTGTAAATTTTTATTGGAACGCAGCTAAGATGACCTTGGTTTTGAATTCTAGCTCTATCACTTAATAGCTATTACTAAGTTTTTGTTTCCTCTTCTGTAAAATGAAGTTAAGTACCTGCTTTAAAGATTGTTGTGTGAGTTAAGTGAGGTAATGCATATAAAGAAGCACTTAGCTCAAGCTCTGGCATACAGTAACAAGTATGTTACCTATTAACACTGTTAATGTGTTTCAGGGGGTGCCTGGGTGGATTAAGTGTCTGACTCTTGGTTTTGGCTCAGGTCATGGTCTCGTGGTTTGTGGGATTGGGCTGTGCCGACAGCGCAGAGCCTGCTTGGGATTTTTTCTCCTCCCTTTCTGCCTCTCCCTCCACTTGTGTGCACGTGCTCTCGCTCTCTCAAAATAAATAAACTTTAAAAAGAATATATTTCTCTTTCAGAAATTGGAAGATTTTTTTGGCTGTGCCAAAAATATCAGGCCACCAAATTTTTAATGACAAATCTAATTTAGACTAATAGTTTTTAGTTATTGCTTGTTGGATCCCATTTAGCATTTGGTGAAAGCTAACATTCTCCACCAAAAGCGCGTATGTGCATTATCAGAAAGTGTTGTCTACAGTAGAAGAGATAAAGGACCCAATTAAGAATCATTGTTTTTGAGTCTTCTGCCCCCTCCCAATTTTTTAAATTTAAAAAAATTTTTTTCATTCAGTTTTTGAGAAAGAGCACGACTGGTGGAGGGGCAGAGAGAGAGGGAGACACAGGATCTGAAGCAGGCTCCAGGCTCTGAGCTGCCAGCACAGAGCCTGATGTGGGCCTGAACTCATGGACTGCGAGATCACAACCTGAGCTAAAGTCGGATCCTCAACCGACTGAGCCACTCAGGCACCCCTGCCCCCTCCCAATTTTTTTCCAATTCTATAAAAGATCTTGATTATACAGAAAAATATTTTGAAGTTGTTGAACATTGCTTTGTTCCTGTATATCTATTTTTTAAAAATTTTTTAATGTTTATTTTTGAAAGACCGAGTATAAGCGGGGGAGGGGCAGAGAGAGGGAGACACAGAATCTGAAGCAGGCTTCAGGCTCTCTGCTGTCATCACAGAGCCTGACGTGGGACTCGAATTCATAAACCATGAGACCATGACTTGAGCTGAAGCTATTAACCAACTGAGCCACCTAGGTGCCCCCCTTGTATACCTATTTGTTGAACTTTGTTGTTTAGCTTTATTGTGGTCTCATTTGAGCAGGGTCATTGTCACTGTTACACTTGGTATAGAGTATCGCACACCTAACACTTAAGTTTTATTGTTGATGAAGTTTTCCACAGTTCTCCTGTTCCATGATTAGGTATTCCTATTATTTTATCAGTAAAGTTAAAAAAAAAAAAAAAAGGTAATGCCTTTAATGGATATATGTGAGTTCTTTTTATAAAATGTGGTTACACAGTATAATATATTAAGCTGTCTAATTGTTTCTCGGTGGTTTTAAAAATAACATTTTTATTTTGGAATGGTTTTATATTTACAGAAAAATTAGATATAGTACAGAGAGTTCAGGTATAATAACATACACCTAGTTTTCTCCTCTAGATCATTTCATCTCAGGTATTTCATTTCCTCTCATGTTTGAGAACTTACAGGATATTCAGAGGCTTCTTGCGTCTCATCTTTACATTTTTTAAAAAAATGTTTTTATTGATTTTTGAGACAGAGACAAAGTGTGAGCAGGGGAGGGGCAGAGAGAGAGGGAGACACAGAATCTGAAGCAGGCTCCAGGCTCTGAGCTGTCAGCACAGAGCCTGGTGCGGGGCTCGAACCCATGGACTGTGAGATCATGACCTGAGCTGAAGTCAGACGCTCAACCGACTGAGCCACCCAAGCACACCTTGAGTCTATTCTTATGGGACGTAAAAAATCTAATAGGAAGGACAGAATAATTCTTGAAATTACTTTTTAGGATTTAGGAAATCACATAGGATCCCCTGTGAGGTCGTGATTGGGATTTCTATGAGAGCTTATAGGAGGGAGTGTGGACTGCCAGGCAAGAGGATAAGGGAAGATTTTTCCTAAAGGATGTGCCATTTGAATTGGTCCTTGAAGAGAGATGTGATTTGGCCTTAAGGGGGTTAGGAAGAGAAATGGGCTTAGATGGCTGTTTCATTCCACGTGCTCTCTTTTTGAGGAGAATGCAGGCATGGCATACCCAAAGGAAATGTATGGTTTTTGCTGCAGCAACTATCCTCCTGAACATTCCATCCCATTTTGCTAAAGTTTGTTATGGGGATCTCCAATATTTCCAAGCCTTTTTGGCTCTTAACTCTTTTTTTTGACAGAATATTTCCATTCTTTTTTTTTTTTTGGTTAATGTTTATTTATTTTTGAGAGAACATGAGCGGGGGAGGGGCAGAGAGAGAGAGGGAGACAAAGAATCCAAAGTAGGCTCCAGGCTCTGAGCTTTCAGCACAGAGCCCAACGCGGGCCTTGAACTCACCAACCGTGAGATCATGACCTGAGCCGAAGTCAGGTGCTCAACCGACTGAGCCACCCAGGCGCCCCTGATATTTCCATTCTTTTAAAGATTTTTTTTTTTTCATTAGTAAGTAATCTCTACACTCAACATGGAACTCGAACTTAAAACCCCGAGATCAGGAGTCACATGCCCTACCAGCTGAGCCTGTCAGGTGCTCCAGTTCCATTCTTTTAATCCAGCATGCGGTATGAGCACTGCTGTATCAGAATCCTGTTATCAAGTGTAGTTGTAAGCAAGGAGCTAATTTCTATGCTCATTGGATCTGTGGTTTGTGTCCTCCCCTGTCAGGTGTCAGAAATGGCTGTCTCTGAGTTACCCGGTAACCCCAATGCTGTCTGGACAGTGCGTCGGCACATTGAAGGTAAGTAGCCCTTTCCCAACAGTCAAAATGTGGGTCTGGGTAACATCGACAGTAGAAGGCTTAGGAGGTTGCATTCATAATGTTTTTATATTGCTTCATTTAACAATATACTAGAAACTTTTTCTGGCCTGACACCATGTTTCTCAGGCTCTCTCAATCAGGATGCCTGCACCTTTTTGTATGCATGAGTAAGGGGTGCATTAGGGTGGCTGTTAATACATCTATACTCCCGTATTGTAGAGCTGTCATACGTGTTGTTCTTTGACCATATTCATCCTGTTGCATCTGTGTAAGAGGTGTGGTATGAGGGAAAGTTTTTTGCTTCTTCAGTTTTCTTTAGCAGTTTTCTCTAGCAGTTTTCTCCTGTTGTGCTGAAACCATGGTGAAGTTGAAGGTGTTGTCCTAGGTATTAAGAGATTTAGTTAAGCTTATTAATCAATTAGTCCTGCTCAATGGGTGGAATTGTGCTTAAGGGAACTGAAGATTGAGATTGAATGGAATCATAATTTTTGAATGGGTGGAAAAGAGTGGATGGAGGAAAGAGGAGTCTGAGTTCTTGGATAAAAATGGTCACCTTTTCCTAAAATTTTGCAATTTAGGTAAAAATGCATAACAGTGTGACAGCAGGATATTCTTGAATCAGTTGAATTTGAGGAATGAAACTTAATTCTCATTTTCCCTTGGATTCTCTGTGGGTGTAGGTCATTTCTATTCTTAGACTTCATCTTCCTCTTGTTCCCTCAGGAATGTGGGCCTGGTGAGATCACCCTGGCCAGCATAGAAAGCTTTCTCAAGAAAACAGCTGGAAATCTTCCTGATATTTTGATGTCCTGATATTTTGATGTTCTGATGTTTGATTTTATGGGAGTTGGGAAATGTGTAGGAGGGAAACCTCGTGTTATTAGTAGAATGCACATTATGGTGGATTTTGTTTTCATGTGGGTGTTTGAACCAAGTCTGAGTTGAGTAGATAGAAAAACCAAATAGGAAATTAGTAGGTTTATTTTTGCTAGAAGATAATTAGTAGATGACTGATTTTGATTTTCCCATTTTGTATAATTTCTTCGTAAAGGAACTAGTCAAATTGATGTTCACCTTTAGCTTGGTGGCTGGTTGGTATTACAACTCCTGATGAAAACATTGCCTACACTCTGAATTTTTTAAGCCTTTGAGATAAAACTTAGTATTCCTCTTTCTTGTTTTGTTTTCTAGTACTTGAACTTTATTTTAAAGTAGTTTTAGATTTACAGGAAAGTTCCCCCTCATTTTTATGATGAAGGCAGAAAAATTAGGAGTTGACTCTTTCAAGATAGTGCGTTGAGGTAATAGTCTGACAGCATGGTCCCTGAGCTTCCAGTCCAGTGTTCCTTTGACTAACACTGAAGTTGGAGTCTGCCGGTCTTGCTGGTCTTTAGGATAAGTTTTATACTCTCATCGTGCAGTCTTTCAAGTGTCCACCTTGTACTTAGTAATTAAGAAAGGATTGGATCTCTACTCTCAGAGCCCTTGCCATCTAACACAAGAAGAGAAGTACACAAAACTGCTATGTGTTCTGATGTAATGAAAGGCGCACAAGCATGTTGCCAGGACAGGTTAGAGGAGAGGGAATTGGCATATGTTGGAGAATCAGAAAAGACTTTTTTGGACAATGCTTGATGAGTTAGTGATAAGCAGTATGTTGCATGATGGAACTTGTAGCTGAATGTTTTTCTTATCAAGTTTTAGGAATTGACTACATCCTGATAAATTTCACTCTTTAGAAACTATAATTTGGGTGATCACCCACAAAAACAGGTCAGGTTCTCTCTGTTCATTCTCTTTGCAGATACTCCAAGTTACTGTTGTGTGACTATCCCACATGTCCACACATGCTGTAGTGTTCAGGCAACTACTAACCTTGGCTGGTACTTGGTGATGCACACTACCAATACCAAGCCTTTTTTTCTCTTCCACAGGTGGCTGGTGAAGGTGCTGATCACCACAGGTGTGTACATACTGCTAGGGTCTACCATGGGGTCTTCTAGTTTACCCAGGGAGAGGGATTTGTACAAAATATTAAGACCGCCCTGATGGCATCTCAGAGGGTAACTTTGAAATTGGCTGTTCATGTGCATTGTAGTGATGGCACACCCATCTGCCTATATATTAAATGGTTGGAGGCAGGAATCGGCTTCCCTTACTTTTTCCCTAAGTAGAAAGTACGACTAATGTGTCTTTCACTAAAGCTGAAAGAACCTGTAGCTAGAAAACCTTAACTCCGTACTCTCCTTTGGTGATTCATATGTTCCAGGTGTACTGACTCAAGCCCTGGAGAAAGCCACCTATTTTTGTTTTGTTTTGTTGTGTTTTTTTTAGTATAATCAGGACTGCTGAGGCAAGACAGGCACCAAATAGAGTGTAAAGTGAGAATGAGACACTGGAAGCTTAAACCATCTTTGGTCACTCAGCATCTGTGGTCCCTCAGTTTTGGAGTGAGCTGTGTTTTGAGCTACAGAGGAAAGAAGAATGCATTCCTTCCCCTGTGGGCTGCTTCAGCAGTGCTCAGATAAAAGTCCTCTTTAAGTGAGACAAAGACGCATTCTCATACCCTAATATGATGGCATTGATGTTCTTTTATGTGAAACTTGTAACTTCTGGAAAAAGGCAACATGGATGTATCTGGTCATTTCCCTTGATTTTGTTTTGAACTCCCAATTTTTTTTTAAATATTTGTTTTTGAGAGGGAGAGAGAGAGTGTGCGCGCCTGTGCATGTGAGCTAGGGAGGAGCAGAGAGAAAGGGAGAGAGAGAGAGAGAGAGAGAGAGAGAGAGAGAGAGAGAATCCCAAGCAGTCTCCACGCCATCAGCGCAGAGCTCAGTGCAGGACTCGATCTCACAAACTGTGAGGTCATGACCTGAACCAAACTCAAGAATTGATTACTTACCACCTAAGCCACCCAGGTGCCCCCTGAACTCCAACTTTTAACCTGTAACTTCCTTAGGACATGAGCAATTAGCCGGCTATAGGTCCTCCTGGATATAGAATGGAAAGGGTAGAAGTTACAGTGTGCCTATTATTCCTAGGGTAATGGATATTTTGAGGAAATCTGCGATGTAAAGCTCTACTGCTTGTTGAATTGCTCAGCAAATGTATGTAAATCCCCTGAGCATCTCTCTCTTTTTGTGTCTGAACAGTATGGGGCCTTGGGTCAAAGGGAAGATAAAGTCCCAGGCAGCTTTCCTTCCTCTCTCCCTTCATTCTCTTGCATGTAAGTCAAAATTTGCGTGGTCTCTTTGCTGAAGTTCCTCCCTTTCCCCTTGATTGAAGGAAGAGACCAGAAATCCTGGCCAGTTAACAGCCCTTTGATGTTTGGCTTTAATTTGTTCTGGCATAGTTTTTAGGATATAAGGTTTCAGTAATGAGAGTGTGGGAAAAGACATAGTATTCATGTAATATTAAAATTAAGTAATTCCTGTTATTTTTACACAATAGAAACTTCCAGTTCAAGAACAGCTGGAGTAAAGCTTCCACGTTTGGCGTTGTTTGGAGATCGATTTTGGTTTTGTTGTAAACTGTTAAGACATCCATTTCAGGGGCAACCATGTCCTTACTTACATGGTCCTGGTCTTACAAAGTCATTTTATAAGGTGTCCGCAAAGCATTTGATACATCTTGACAATTGTAACTAAAATAATCTAAAACCAGCATATCTACTTGTCCGTTGTTACTCCTTATGATTTAGAACTTGAACCTTATTCTGGATTCCTGGTGTAGCCGTTAGATTATACCCATTGGGAATGATCTTTGATCCTTGCCTTTCAGCCACTCAGTACACACATGTATTATTAAGGAAAAGTTTGGAAAACCTTACTCACCCTTACTGTGTGAGTAATTTCATGTGTGAAGCAATTTCATAAAATATATTTATTTCTATATATTTCTATTTAAAAATGCTGATTACAGCCCACCAAATTGACTACGTCCTGCTCATAGGGTAGAATACTGCTGTAGGCTACACCAATGATACATCTTCAGTTGGTCTCTTTTTCTGTAAAGAACACTGATTCTGCCGAACTAAGTGAATAATCTTGGTTCACCTGAACCACCTTTGGAGCAATCAGAATCCATACTGTGTCCTTGTCATGTGTGGGATGGATCATCCCTAGGGTGTTGAGCTCTGACAAGGGCTCAGGCACGCAGGGTCCTATAGCTACTTCTATGAGTAAGGTAGCCACTCTAATTTAGTACCTTGTCTACTTGTCATTCAGTCCCCTGTTGACCTGATTTCTGTATGAGGGGGAGACAGAAAGGGGAATTGATACAGAAAATTGAGAAGTAAAATAGAAAAATCTTAACCCTTCCTTAAAAAATAACATACCTTTCTCTATTCATCATTTGAAAAGTTTTATGCCAAACATTGTACTGGGTGTGGGAGATGCACAGAGGTGTTTTATGTGTAGGATGGAATATATATGGGAAACAGGTGGCCTTTAACTGTGGGATCTGTATGAGAAACTTCTGGGACTGCCTGTATTCAGATCCTCTGACTTGGAGAAACTCATTTGTGTTTATTCATAACTGTGTTTCGTTAAATGAAAAGCAAATCCTAATAGGGTTGTTCCTGACCACTGAATAGTTGCATTTAAAAATTTTTTTTTTTTTAACATTTATTTATTTTTGAGACGGAGAGAGACAGAGCATGAACGGGGGAGGGTCAGAGAGAGGGAGACACAGAATCTGAAACAGGCTCCAGGCTCTGAGCTGTCAGCACAGAGCCCGACGCGGGGCTCAAACTCACGGACCACAATCATGACCTGAGGTGAAGTCGGGCGCTTAACTGACTGAGCCACCCAGGCGCCCCAATAGTTGCATTTTTAAATAATGAGAGTAGAAAGGTTAAGGGCTAACAGTATAAACAATAAAATGCTTCCTGGTTAATGCTCTTATCTCATTTTAATTGGGATATCCTAGGATTCGCTGTTTTAAACCTGAGGGTGACAGTCTCATTGAAGCTTAAGTAATCTGTTTTATTCATCAAGTATTATGTTCCCACAGAATCGGTTTTTGGAAGAGGCTGGGGACCTTTCCTAGTTATAACAATTATCTTTAAGAATGGATTGTGATGGGCATCTAGCACAAATAAATAAGCTCTGAGTTCAGTGTATGTAAATATTGTAGTTTTCAGAATTTCCTCCTGCCTGGTTCCCCTGCTTTGTCCTCTTGGATTTTTCCAGCAAATGTCTCAAGAAAAATTGATTTTCAGAGGTGTTAGGGGTGGGCATATGTACTCAATGTATTCAGGCCTTTGAGGAAGCAAAGTGTATCTCTAGGGTGTTACTATTTTCAATTATCCTTTGGATCATCTTGTGCTGTTTGCCACATGAGTCTGTGTGATGACTACACATAGAAGAAGTTCCTTGGAAGGTTTCTGAAGAGAAAACTTAGTATGTTTCACTTGGCTTTGTAACTAATGAGTTCTTAGCTAACCAACTCCTCTTTACTTTCCTTTTTGCAGATGAGTTTGATGCCTATATCATTGTGTCTTTCGTGAATGCCACACTTGTACTATCCATCGGAGAGACTGTGGAAGAAGTGACTGACTCTGGGTTCCTGGGCACAACCCCAACCTTATCCTGCTCCTTGTTAGGAGATGATGCCTTGGTACAGGTCAGGATTCCCAGAGAGTTATTCACCTTACTTTATCCTTTCATTGTGGTGTAGACTCCTGTGCTTACATTAATGAGCTTTTAACTCTTTTTTTTTTTTTTTAAATTTTTTTTTTTTAACGTTTATTTATTTTTGAGACAGACAGAGCATGAATGGGGGAGGGTCAGAGAGAGAGGGAGACACAGAATCCGAAACAGGCTCTGGGCTGTGAGCGGTCAGCACAGAGCCCGACGCGGGGTTCGAACTCACAGATCGCGAGATCATGACCTGAGCTGAAGTCGGAGGCTTAACCGACTGAGCCACCCAGGCGCCCCACTTTGAACTCTTTTGAAGTGAACATTGCAAACATGAACTTAAGTTAATTTGACCTGTCTGGGGCCTAGTGATTCTTTTTGTCATTGACCCGATTTGTGCCTCAATGCAGTGGTGCCAGTTCAGACAGGAGTGACCCATCTGGTAAGGGTGAGGGTCATGCTGAGTACAGAGTCACATTGCTAAAGTCGGTTTCCTTCTTCTTGTTGCTGATTGTAGGTGTATCCTGATGGCATTCGGCATATAAGAGCAGACAAGCGAGTCAATGAGTGGAAGACCCCTGGGAAGAAAACGATTGTGAAATGTGCTGTGAACCAGCGACAAGTGGTGATTGCCCTGACAGGAGGAGAGCTGGTCTATTTTGAGATGGATCCTGTATGTTATTTTATCATTCATTGTGGAACTTAGTGTTAGGATCCAGAGGTAAAGATGAGAGTTGTAGTTCAGTATTCACAAAGAGAATTGAGGAGGGAAAGTGTTCACAAGCAAATCCAGCCCAGTGGGGATGGGATAGGGAGGCTAAGTTCATGTTTTAATTCTTTTTTTTTTTTTTTTTTAATGTTTATTTTTGAGAAAGAGGGCATGAACGGGGTGGGGCAGAGAGAGAGGGAGACGCAGAATCTGAAGCAGGCTTCAGTCTCTGAGCTATCAGCACAGAACCTGATGTGGGGCTCAAACCCATGAACCGTGAGATCATGACCTGAGCCAATGTTGGATGCTTAACCAACTGAGCCATGCAGGTGCCCCTCATGTTTTAAATCTAACTAGAGTTATGAAGTTCCATCTTAGCAATGAAATATTTTATTCTCTTGACCTTCACATTCTACATTTCCAACATATATTGGCTAAAGGTTTTAATTTTTACAATCTGAAGCCATTTCAGAAATTTTCTTTTGCTTTTCTGTATGGAAGGATATTGGGTATACTTATCATGCTCTCAGCAAAGTTTCTGGATGTGGTCAACCTGTATAGTCTAACTGTACCTCTGGTTGAGATTTCTTTAAGTATTTGAATTTGAATTCATATTTGAATTATCTTTTATCCAAAGTGTTCTCATGAACAGATGAATAGTTTTCTGTATTTCTATTTCCTGAGAGCTAGGTTGGTTTAGAAAATTTGTAACATATTGTATTTATTAAAGACAAAAACATTGTGTTGTCTCTTGATTGTCTCATCAGTAGTTTTGCTTGCTCCTGGCCTTAGGTAGAGAAATTCTTGGTCATTGATTATAGTAAGAAGGGTGAGAGGAAGCAAAAAGGAACTTAACAGTCCTTTCCCAGGCTCAGGGTTTAGGGGCCAGTGGGAGTCGTTTGTGACCTCTCTTTCTTACTTTTGTAGTCAGGACAGCTGAATGAGTACACAGAGCGGAAGGAGATGTCAGCCGATGTGGTGTGCATGAGTCTGGCCAATGTGCCTCCTGGAGAGCAGCGGTCTCGCTTCCTTGCTGTGGGGCTGGTGGACAATACTGTCAGAATCATCTCCCTGGACCCCTCAGTGAGTGTCACCCTTGACTTCAAGGATCTTCCCATTGGAAACTGAGCTGCTGGCTTACTCCTGATGGGCATCTCTGAAATTGTCTGGGCTAGACCCTGAAATCAGTATCTGCCACTTCTGATTATCGTAGCAGCACACCTGGGGAGTCTTTGTGAAGATCCTGATGGCAGACTACTAAGTGTTGTTTTGCCTTAAGCCTTGTCTCCCGTTTGTAGTGAAAAAGAAACAAAAAAACCCAAGACTGCTGAAAAGGACTTGGACTTGGCTCCAGGGCCTTAGATGACTTTTAAGAGCTGCCTTTGCTTATTTACCTTTACCATTATCTGCTTTTACAGAAAGGAAAGCATGGTTCTCTCCAGAGCTTATTCTAAGATTTGGTTTAACTAGTGTTAACCCATTTAAAGCTCACTATAGGATTCCCCTCCACAAGAAAGTTGTTTCTTCATCCTGAGAATTAGATTTTTTTCCCCAAAATTGGTCATTTCCCCTGTTTTATTCTTTTCTCTTTCCTCCTTAGGACTGTTTGCAGCCTCTGAGCATGCAAGCTCTCCCAGCCCAGCCTGAATCCTTGTGTATTGTGGAAATGGGTGGGACTGAGAAGCAAGATGAGCTGGGTGAGAGGGGCTCTATTGGCTTCCTATACTTGAATATTGGGTTACAGGTAAGAGATCTGAGGCTCACATTGAGGTCAGGCCTTCTTTAGCTTTTATGCACTCCTTGTTCTATATGGGCATTTGCTGTGCCTGTGGTTTCATTTTACCACCTCATGAAAAATGGTCTGTGTTCCACTTCTCTCCTCTCTAATTAGAACAAGTCAGGCCTAAAAAAATAAGTTATATTAATTATATTGTATTGTATTATATTATATTATATTATATTATATTATATTATATTATCACTACAAGTTATTTGCAAACGTAAGTTTCACTATTTGAGACTGTAGCTCTAACAGATGTGTGGGTTGTTTTCTTTTTAGGCCTCAATTTTATTATCATGCTGAATACAACTTAACAGTTCTTTAATATCTGATACCTTGTTCGTGTTCTGGTGTTTCTTGGTTTGTGTTGGTTTTGTTTTTTCCAAAAATGCTTTTACCTTTGGTTCTACTTAGGATCTGCATAAAGCTATCCACAGTTTGCATTTGCATGACCTATCCCTTTGTTTCTTTTATTTTTATTGTAATTTATTTATTTATTTATTTATTTATTTATTTATTTA